ATATATATATATATATATGCTCCCAATCGGTAGAATGATTAGACAGCATGGAATTAAAATCCACTGCAGCTAAAACTTGTGTCTGATAGCTTGTAAACATGTTAGCATTGCAGCTAACAATTGTTAGTAATTCTGACTATGTGCTTATGTTAAACTACTTTTGTTAGTAGCACCTCAGTTATCACAGCATAGAGGCCGTAGCAGCTGGACCTGACTTGCTACTGGCCCATTCTAGGGTCTCCAGCAGTCTCTTGAAAAATTGAATAGTCCTGTATGTAGAGGAAATGCTTCATGCTCTGTGTTGGGATGATCAAACTAACACTTGTCTATATTTCCGATGGAATAAAAAAAAAAAAAAAAAAAAATTGCATTATTGTTCAGAACATAAATTATGGCAGTGAGCGGTTATCTTGTCAACCCACTCCTATGGCATATATATTTTTTTATTTTAAAGATTTTTTGTTTGTTCTGCTTTAGTTTTTACGCTGTTGACAATACTTCAAACTTTTTAAATCTGAACTTTTATTAACGATTCAGATGCCAGGTGGATGGTCTCAAATCCTGATGATTTTTATCAGGAGTTATTATATTATGTATTTAAAAAGTGTAGACGAGCACTATGATTATATTAAACTGGCGTCTTTAAATATATAACCAAAATAAAACACACATTTTAAAATTTTGTAAAACTTATTAACACAAAACCTACATTATGGACATATTTGAAAGGAGTCTAACAATTATATTTGACAGTCTACATCACGACGGGAAAAAAAAAAAAAAAAAAAAAAAAAAAGAGATCAAAATGATTATGCCACTTAAGAGGTAAAAGCATAAATGCTAAAAGTACATTAGCCTCTTTCATAACTGACCTGTTTGAAATGATTTTTTTCATTAAAGGTGCCTTGAGCAATTAAAACCCTATTTCAGTTAAGCCAAAATTAAGAGAGTACCTTGAGAAATCTCAAACTGGGCATGAGCAATGTGGACAAAGGCAAAGCCCTTGCAGCTGGATCTCGCCATTATGAAGTGGTCCTGTGCCACATCTGGATCTTCAATCCTACAGAAGAGAGAGGAAATGCTTAGTTATTAGCAATGTGTTCCAATCTAAAGACAACTAGAGAAAACAGACCAAAATGTTCCGAAAATATGAAACAAAGAAATAGCAGGGTTATTTTGCTTATAAAATAATAACAAAAGAAAATGTGCCATATGAGTTGAAGATGTATAGGGATGCCGACTTTTTCACTTTCAATACGATATTGATACTGCCGCTTAGAGAATTGACTGATACCCATATTGACCCGATACAATGTCAAAATGACTCATACCTGCTTTTATTACTCATTTTATCGTGCAGGGTGTAGGGCTGGGTATTGTTCAAAAATTTTCGGTGCCGGTACCAATACCGATACCTTCACTTCCTGAACGATACTTTTTTCGATACCAGTTTTATAATATCAATTCGAAGAAAAAGAAAATTACACAACATAAAAAAGTACAAATCTTGAGTTTTATTTTAAGCTCTGATTTTTCCATTTACATTTTTCCTCTTACATAAAAAAAAAAAAAATTCAGTGTCTAATATTGTTACATTGTGAGGACCTTTTTACTTAGCAGTTTTCCTTTAGAAAAATTAACATGTCTG